CGCCGGCACATGCATCTGCAGTGTTCTCGCAGGAGCTGGTGGAGCCCGCACCTTCGCCGATTGTGGTTGTCGACGATGATGATCCGCCAGACTCGGACGAGGCGCCTGCTTCTAAGAGGAGGCGTTTGGATGGTGTAGATACGGCTGGTCCGTCATGATTTCAGATCGGAGTGTCCATCAGTGGCTATGTCCAAACGTGCGCTTCGATTTGTCTTTTTCTATCACCCCAGTTAGTGTCGACTTAGATGATTCCATATGATACGTGTATTCATTAGTTCACCTCGCGTTTCGATAATGTTTTAGTGCGTCGACACAGTCTACGTGGTCCATTTGTTAACTCGGCTGATGAGAGCTCACAGGATTATAGCAAGATTATGGCCTAGTGTTTGTTGCACGTATGTCTACGCATAACTATTCTCGGTATCACGATTCTGGTCCACTATGGTATACATGACATGTAATGTTTCAGACGGCTTAAAGACCTTGAAGTCCCCATTCCTTCCCGCTCATCCATGCTCCTGGATCCTCCCAATCAGCTGTAATCGACATGGGCTTTATGCTCGTGATGCTGTGGATGTATGAATGCGCTCGCGCCAATATTGTTGAATATCCTGTGCACGGTCCAGCATCTCCTTCTCCTCCGTCTTCCAGGTGGCATCAGTATTGATTTTGTTATATATCCTGATGGTTTTACCCAGTTTGGATTTCTATATGATAATTAGCAATTAAAACTTGAAACTTGAAACTTGTATTTCTCTACAGACAAAACTTACTGTCAGTATGACATCGGTCACCTCAGCCTTAAATTCATTGATGTATCCCATTGCCCATTTCAACTTAAGCCATACTTGTTCTTCATCACCTGGAAGAACCACTAAGTCTCCTTTCTTCATCCTAATGTACTCTGATATGACTTGTGTCCAAATTCCTGCTGTGTGTAAATTGATATGGATTTGACCATACTTTGACCTTGAACCACTGGCTGTAATAGTAGCACTCTGATGTATTCTTCTTGAAGATGAATGATGAGGATGAGAAGATATATGATATCTGGGCTCTGATGTATGATGATGCATCTCTATAAATGAAACAAATCAGCCACTATAAAAGCACAAAAGCAATTAAGATAATGCTACCTTCATAACTGCTATTACCATCACTATGCAGGTGCTGTTGCTCTGAGTAGATATGTTTATCAACACCTGAGCCAGTGTTGCTATCACTAGGTACATTCACCAGCCAGCTTGAGACAGAATTTTCCTGCAATCCTGAGGATGAAGATGCAGCAGAATATGTATTCTGTGCTGGAGATATAGAGCGAGAGTGTATGTTCAATAATGTAGGTGATGATTCTTGTTGAAACAATGAAGACTGATTTTCTGAACTTTGCTGAATTGATAATATATATTGATGGCGAAGTGATAGTCCAAGAAGACCTTCTTGCTGCAAGACAGTTAAAGATGATTGCTGATTTTCATCAAACTTTGTAGCCCAAGATAAGTTAGGCACTGATAAAGATAATGCAACATTAGAAGCACTATCTTTGCCTATATTATAAAATATAAGTCAGCATTGTGTAAAGATTTACAGTGTAAGAGTGCTCACTACAATGGTCTCTTTGCTGAGGATCCTTGGGCTTTAATTCAGGTAAACTAGACATTGACATGTTATCCACTGGTAACAATGATGAGGGTGGAAGCAAAGCAGTGTCCTGGCTCATTGCAGCTTTATATAGTGATGTGCAACAAATAGGTGTAAACAATTGCACCATCATCTTACTAATAACCATGCTCACAATTTTATTGTCCACTTTGCATTGTGCCTAATGTCTCTTTGTAAACAACAATGATGAGAGTTCCAACTTTGTCAAGTATCTGAGATGATTGAGAGCACTTTATTTCAATCCTGAATGTGTAGAGTGTCCCGGAGAATAGATTGCCTGCTGAATATGGTAGCATCCCAAGGTCCAGGGTGTGTGAGAACAAGTAGTATGTAATGCTGATCCGCGGGCCGCCGTACAAGACATGGCGCCTGAACAGATCGCCACCGACGTTTGGCTGCTGGTCATGTTTAGAGCCCTTCGTAGAGCTACCGCCCGCAATCTTACACTTTCGTCTCGCATTCCACCTGTCATTGGCAAAGTTCGCGGATTATCAGTCGCACACACGCTCTCAGCCAGTCCTTCTAGCATACTCCAAGAGTCCGACCGAGCTCAGCTACCACATGGCGGTGAGACTTGTTTGACTTTCATTGCTTACCAGTTTCTTCATCCGTATTCAGCTCCCTTTCCAAGACGTAGTCATACATGCGGCGCCTTAAGTTCTGGAGACGTTGGTTCGACGGTGGTCTTGACGGGATGGCTCCTTCCCGAGAGGTACGTGTCTGACTTACATGTTTGTCTCGACACTCATGTCAAGCATCCGAATACAGGAAAGTTAATCATAAACTATCATTTTTCAACTTGAGAGACTCCTACGGCATCGTCCAGCTTGTCGTGTCTGCCAAGGAAGATGAAGCTTTGCTTGCTATGATGCGCAAACTACCCACGGAGTCCACGGTATCGCTGCGAGGAGCAGTCAGAATGCGAGCGGAAGGCCACAGAAGGCCTGTAAGTTAATGTAGACTTCTTAACGCTAATCATCGTCGCGCATGTGGCACTTATACAAGGCATCATATTCAGTATCCTCAAGGAGACATCGAGGTCGCTGTCGTGTCTTGTTTACTTCTCAATCCTGCGGATCGCAACTTGCCTTTCTTGCCTTCTGATACTCAAAACATGGTTTGCTCTTTCTAGTTGTCGAGTAATAATCAAGTACTCATTTGATTCATGATAAGGCAAATGAGAACGTGAGGCTCCGATATCGTTACTTGGACCTTCGTAGAGAGGCTCTCTCCGCAAATCTCAAGAAGCGTAGCGAGGCGGCTCATCTCATTCGGTCTGTCTTCTATGAAAGGGGTAAGGCGTATATGTAGTCGTTATGCAATCGCTAATAATCCATTTTATACAGATTTCACAGAAGTGGAGACCCCAATACTCTTGAAGTCGACACCGGAAGGTGCACGGGAGTTTCTTGTTCCCACTCGTCTTACTGGATCCCCTTCGTCTAGTAGCCCTGGCCAATCCGCAGTCTCTTCTACGACCAAAGGCTTAATATCGACGCCGTTATTCTACGCTCTTCCGCAATCTCCTCAACAGCCAAAACAGCTGCTCGTGGCGTCCGGGGCAGTTGATCGGTACTACCAGTTAGCAAAGTGTTTCCGCGATGAGGACGGACGCAAGGATAGGCAGCCCGAATTCACCCAAGTTGATTTAGAAATGGCATGGGTTAGTTGGGGTGAGCCAGATATGAGCAACGATGTTTCAGCCCCCATGGCTCTTATAGACGCCGACGACTCGCCTACTCAGTGGAGGATTGGCGGCCTTGAAGTTCGCGAGACTGTAGAAGCCCTCGTTCGTCGCCTCTGGTCGAAGCTTGAAGGCATTGAACTACCCGAACAATTTCAAGTGACGACATATGATACTGCAATGCATCGCTACGGGTGTGACAAACCCGACCTTAGGGTTGGCATGGAGGTATGTCTCGATTGCAATATCGAACACTAACACTCACCTCGGGCCTATCAGATCGAGGACATCAGTTCGTATCTTCCAACGTCCGTTCGTGCCGCACTCACTTCGAGAGAGGAGATCGTTGAGGCATTAGTAGTTCGTGCCTCTACGTCTGATCGAGCCTTCCTTCGTGCTGCCCGGGAGCTGCGGAGCGAAGAAAAAACTGTTGTAAGGATTTGCAAGTTTTTGGTATCTGATTGCTGCTCACTATGTCATGTAGGAGCGTCTGGAAGTTGCACAGAACGGAAGTATCGACTGGATCCGCCAGTCTGAAATCATTCGGAGAACTGCGGATTTCGCGGTTGATGACGTCGATATGCAGATAAACACTGCTCTACATCTGAACAGCGGGGACATTCTGTGGGTGGCTAGACGCAGAGGTCGACCAGAGGTACCTTCGATGAAACTGTCATGAGATACTAGTGGTTTGACCACTCACCTACAGGGGGGTTCTACGGCTTTAGGACGCCTTCGCCTTCAACTTGCGGGTCTGGCCGAGACCCTTGGAGACTTCACCTTTCCGGATGATCCGCGTTTCCTATGGGTCACTGAATTCCCTCTATTCACTCGTGCAGATGCCGATAAGGAGTTCTTGGCTCACGGACGGTGGAGCAGTTCACACCATCCTTTCACGGCGCCTATGTGGCAGGACATCAAAAAGATGTATGAAGGTGGGGTGGCCGAGGTACGTGCTTTGAATGTTGTTGATCGTACGGTTCGATCATTTATGATTATTTTTTGCTCTGGTACAGGTCAGAGGGCAACATTACGACCTCGTCCTGAACGGCGTAGAGATTGGAGGTGGCTCAGTTCGAGTTCATGACGCCGGGATGCAGGAGTATATCTTCACAGAGATTTTGCAGGCCAGTGTGTTCTAGGCCCTTATAGTTACGATCTTTGACACGTATATCATTCACAGCTTGATCGTACGGAAACGACATCCTTCGCTCACTTGCTTCATGCTTTGCGATGTGGGGCACCTCCCCACGGGGGCTTTGCATTTGGTATGTATCCATTTGCCATACTACGGTGTCTACTCATCCTCCTCTAGGGTTTGACCGTTTGATGGCCATCCTCTGCAAGACGGACTCGATTCGAGATGTTATCGCATTCCCCAAAACCAGTGTTGGCACGGATCTTCTCTTTAAAAGTCCCGCTCCCGCTTCTCGCGAAGTACTAGCACAATATGGCATTCCAGCAAAATAATGGCATGTTACATAATTCAAAAGGCTGAGACATATCATACTTGTTAAGGAGTATATCTGGATCGTATATGCCCGTTCTTAATGCAGGTAGTATCATACACGCAAAATCAGAGTGCGACTACAGATCCGGTGTTGCAGCGAGGCATAAATTACGAGATGGGTACGAATGTTCGTAAAAGAGCGATCGTGTCATTACGTAGTAGGAATCGTGTCGTCAGATTGTGGACTGCGACTACGCTCCATATGTGGTGTGTTGCTGCCTGGAGGCGTTAATGATGGTGACTGTGCATTGGTGAGAGTAGAATTTCGAGGTGTTGGATTGTTTTCGTCGCTCCCAGAATAGCCATTTGAGAACGGAAAACCCCATGAACCCAGACTAGTTCCTGCGTTACCGGTACCGTTGATTCCTATCGAGGTAGATGCTTGTTCGAACTGCTGCACGTCATCTGGTTTGGTGATGGTATCTGTAACACCGTTGTGGTGCGAATGGGTCTCGTCGATAACAGACAGGACGCTGCGTAGTTTTGATTCTGACTTCCGCGGGAAGTGTGTTGGAGATGTTGAAGCTGCACCGGGATGAGAGTGTCGTCTGCTGAAGGACAACGGGGGAGACGCAGCAGCGGTTGTATCGACAGCCTTCGGAGATACCGAACGAGCGGGGGACACGGGATTGGACGTCGACCTGCCGCGAGGGGATCCTGGGTATGCTACGTCTGTCCATGCAGCACTGGTATCCGAGAAGAATCCACCTGTCGCGGGCGTCCAAGAATTCTGCCCTGATGCAATACCATCGCTGCTATCCAATTCGGGAGTTGAAGAAGTAAGGGGACTAGGTGAGGGCGAGGGGGCATTGGCCATCACGGATAATGGTGGTAAAATAGTGAAAATCTGATCTTCAGCAGGGGGAGGCCCATATGAATCGAAAGGATCAGGAACAGATTGAAGCATCGGTTCTATCACTGGATCCGAGCTGCGGTTACAGATTCATATCTGCTTAGGAACAGTAAAATATAGGAATCATAATCCACGTACGCTTTACTGGTGAACTTGTCAAACACGTCCATAGTCGAACGGACAGCGAGACAGACTTTGCCCTGCACAAAGTCCCAAACCTCCTCTTCGTGCTCAATTATTTCTTCATAGTGCTGAGCCTTCAGATCATCAAGCTCCTCTACCTGTCTTTGCAGTACCGCTAGCGCCTCACGGAAAGTCTGAAGGTCTGGATGCACAATCATTTGACTGAAAAAGCAGAGATTGTATCAAACATACTGCGACCTTTCCTCTTCATGTTGCCCATCTCTGTCTGGCGAATAATGTTGCTCTTCTCACGCAGAGCCTTCTCATACGAGTTGGATCGCTCCTATAATCAAATGAGTATACCTTAAACACTAGACGAAGAGTCTAAAGGAGCCACGAACGTTCACAATAGTACGATAGTTCTCGAGATGTTGGCGAAGGGGTTTCTCGAATTGCTTGTCCAGAGTCTCTGCCTATGTAAGATCACTCAGATGACAGCCATTCAATTGACTGGAGTCTGGCCTACTAGTACGTGAAAGTGGTTGCTCATGAGATGATGTAACCCAGAAGCTACCTGCAATCGCGTTCCAGATTCGTAAGTGGGTCCCTTCAAACTATAATCCACTCATTTCAGCGCATAATTCGTGATTGGTAGCAGTTGAAATTACCCTGCACAAGTTCCCATCGCGTCCGCAAATCCGGCCGTTGCCCGAGACATGGTGAGCAAAGCCGCGCGATAAGCTGCGCATTTGCTCAAGAGCTGCAGGTGTGTAATGCGAAGTCAACTTTGAGCACATAACCAGGGACAGCATACTCACGTCCTCGTATCCTTGCAGACTGATCTTCAGATGTGCGCGAGTAATAATCTTCTCTGGGCCCTCTGGCCCGAAATTAAGCGCGGAAGCATTGGTGGTCTCCGAAAATGTGGGAGATGATGGTCGAGGGGAAGTATCGCGCTTGGGCGAGATCGCTTGGGAGCGAAGGGAGCGAGCGCGAGGCATGTCCCTAGCTGTCGGGATGAGTGGTTGAGCTGGAACTAAGAGTACCCAAGCAGAGGGGAGTCCGAGGAGACAGCCTGAGCCAGGCCCGCTGCGTGTACCCGGTCACGTGGCAGGTCGCCATGTTTGGCCGAGTTCAAGCTCTTAGCTCGCATGAAGCTGGTTCCGGAACTAAGGGTTACTATGTATATGTCAAAAATCACGGACAGAAGGCTTCTGTGCAGTCGGCGTAACGGTACGATCGGCGTCACTGCAGATCCCGCAGCGCTCCTTCAAGGAACTCAGCTGCACCCCGTATCTTCAGCCAAGTTCTTGCTTCACGAAACTCGACTCTGCACGTCTCGCACTCCTCTGATCCTCTCCCCACAAAATTCGCTACCACGCCAACATATACCTCCGGTATCAGTTCACCATTCTTGTCTGAGATTTCGAAGCGGATGAACTGCCATCCTTGAGGAGTCACCCCGTCGATCCGGACCACGTCTTGCGAAGTGTCGTATTCAATTCGTTTGAAGTCAAAGCCAAGGCCTAGACCGAGAGCTTTGGTGTATGCCTCTTTCAGTGTCCATATGATGTAAAAGCGTCGAAGTGCCTCCATCTCGGACAGAGCTGGCGAAGGGGGCGATGGCAAAAGATTGGCACGTTCCAGTGGCGTCAACTTGGATGCGTTGACGAACATGAGTTCTTGCATTCATTCTGAAAATACGACAGAGTACTCACTTGGTCACTGACGACATCCACAAACCCGGCGAAGGACTCCCGCTTTGGAAGCTGCAATTTCATCACATCTATGCCGACTCTGAATGCCGGAGGGTCGCTAAAGAGTTCATCTCCACTCGTAAAGCCCATCGCAATCAATCCATTGTCGTGTGTGATGTTGTACCCAATTGGAACAACGATATCATTAGTCGCCTGTCTTCGGTCATAATATGCGACCCTTAGAGTTGGCTCAAATCAGCGGAAGGGCAATAAGACTCGCGATGTATGGCTTTCCTGCCGCTGTCTTCCCAAAGGCCATACGGGCAGGAGAAATTCCTTGCTCTTTCAGTAAGACTCGAGGTAAGAGGTGGCTGACAAGGCCACCTAGAGTCGAATTGAAATTAGGCCTGCAGTCTCTGACGAACCGCAAGGGAATGGCTGACGAAATCTATCCGCATGGTGATAGTATCGTTCGAGGCGACTCCGAGTCTCGGGGTCAAGTAGTCGAAGACCCTCCTGATAGAGCTGGAAAGTTGTGTGTAATAGCGCAGAAATCATACAAAGGCTTTGTACGTACATTCCCGAGCTCTGAGACAGTATTTTGGTCAAAAAGGACAGCCCACACCTGCATATTCCCGAAGGCCGGGGACTTGACACTAAATGGGAGACAAGCACAACGTGCCACCAGTAAGGAAGGAACAGAAAGGCTCATCTAATCTAAGCGCTACGATCACGTCGATCAGCTCGCTGAGCCGAGTCTGACTGTCCGAGTCCTCAGTGTCGCTGTCTCAGCCTTGGCAATAACTTGAATTCATCTATTCTATTTCGCACCATGGACACCGATGGGCTCGAAAGAATCATCGTATCACTTGGGATGTTCATCATAGATGACTTTCAATTCCACGACGACGATGACCAGCCAACGGGCAAAATCCTGCCACCTCAGGAAAGCTCATGTCTACTCGCCGCTGAAGTTGTCTTGTGCTGAGGCGAAGCAATCCAACTCATAGATTGGAGGCGGCGGAACTTATGCTACTGTAGGAGCACGCATATGGTGAGAGACATTGTGGTAAATATGTGTGCCGTGCTTCAAGTGTTACTGATCCCGTAGGCTCCCTGCCGAGGCAGTTGGGATGATCGTTGATAGAGGCAATGACTTTCCCGGGAGCATACAGAAACAGCTTGATGCTCTAGGGCATCATGCGTGGCTATTCAGAGACAATAACGAGCGAGTAACGACACGCGCACTCAACTCTTACAAGGGTGATCGCAGGGGGTAACTCGATGATCGTGCTCGAGAATCGGCGCCATCTAATGCGTCAGCCAGATTCCAGTACACAACTCCACGAATACGACTTACACCGCGAGACCTAATTGGGTCTGACTTCCAGCGACCTAAGATGCTGCACTTTATTTGTTCCCCTACAAGAGCAGCGACGATTGTATCCGAGATCAAGGATGAGGATGGTTGGAATCCAATCACCATTTATGAACCTATACCCGTCTGTGCATTTGTTCGACTCTAGGTAATTGGTTATTGATTGCATAAAAAGGATAGATGCATACCTGAAGAACTACCTGCGTTGATTAACGTGCTCCCTTCTATCTCTGTTCTCAGGTAAGCGCAATACTGGATTTATCCATATCGACGTATTCTCCTACACATATCTAAATTACAGCCCCAACGCAGAAGAGGCATTGTCACTTCTCTCCATCCCTGGACCGCCCACCAAAACTTTGGTAGAGGAAGCATGCGGTCGACTCTTGCAACTTGGAGTTGGCCCACAAGGCGAGGGAGTTGTTGTGATACGTAGCGGGGCCTTGGGCGCATTCGTTGCCAGTAAGGGCAGAGAGGGTACATGGGTCCCTGCATTCTGGAATGGTGACGAGGACCTCAAGCATGTCGTCGATGTTACAGGTATGCTGATACTAATATCCATATCATGGGTGATAACATGGAGCAATTCGACTCAGGCGCAGGAAATGGCTTTTTGGGCGGTATGGCTGCTGGCTTGCACATTACCGGAGGTGATACCTATGAAGGTACTTATTCCTATACTGTTTCCACTGCAAGGACTGACGAAAAACTGCCAGCTACACTATATGGCACAATCTCCTCATCTTTCATTATAGAACAAGAGGGACTTCCCCATCTCACTCAAAGATCTGACACTATCGGGCATTTGGGAGAATATTGGAATGGAGATTTGCCACATAGAAGGCTGAAAGTGCTACAAGATCGTCTGCAGAAGGTTACGTAGTAGACAATAATAACTCAAATAGATTACAACAGGGCCATTATTGGTACGTCTGCGAGTGTATGTTCATACATAGAATATGGCGACCAGTCCAATGTCCCTCGTGAGCGACGAGAATGAACGTAAAAAGCCGACTGGAAATTACTGCTGTGCAGATTGAAATTTCGCTCGGCTTGCGGCGAATAACTCCTCTTGCTGTTTGAGGAGCTCCTCCTCTGTGAGCCCTGATTGCTCGAACTTTGACACTTTCTTCTCTCGGTCCTGCGAAACAAATCAGGTTCGAGCCACACATCCAGCACTAACATAACACACTTTCTGCTGCTGTTTGTGATCCTTCAAGACATCCTCGACTTCAGATGTAAAGGACTCAAATCCAAGGTGCTATAGATTTACGGGTTCAGAGCGACTGCCTAGAAGAGCAAAAGAGATTGTCGGTTGCGTACCTTCAACGCGGATATTATATGCTCAGGCGCTATTGTCTTCTTCGACTCCTTCTCGCAAATCTCATTCGCCTCCGAAGATATTAGGTGAATAAATTCTGTCCGTTAGGATTAGCGGAAATTAGCAGGCTGAATGTGAACGGAAATAAAGACGGATCAACTTCACCTACACAACATTCAATAACAAGGTCTCTCGTCTCCTTCGAGCATGTCACATCATTGGGGAGCAATTCTATACCCAGACGAGAGACCGTTATATGAAGGCCTATTTAGAAGAGGGATCGTACCTGTAATCATTTTCGCGACGGTTGCCTTCGGCAATGAGAGGTCTTCGTCGGACCCTGGGATACCTCCGGCGTGCCCCTCATGGTCAGACATCACTGTAAATTTGTTCCGAGTATGAACACGGGTTATGTGAAGGAGAGGGAATCAGTAGGGTGGGGAACGAGATCGTATGCGAGCCCCCCGGCTCGGGGAAGCTTTATAGCTCAGAAATCTGTACAACAGGGACTTTCGAAGTCCGCACGTGTTTACTTGATCTCTACTACCATGTCCGCGGTATGCGCATTTAACAACAGGAATCTCTCTAAGACTCACGCTTGGTTTACAGGTCAACCCAGTCAATCCGAAGCCGTTCATTCAAGAGCTAACGGGCAAGCCGGTGTATGTGCGTCTCAAGTGGGGTCTCGAGTACAAGGGTTTCCTTGTGAGCACGGACGGATACATGAACCTCCAGGTCCGTGTTTAATCCGATTGAATCTGAGTCATGGTGTCCACATTGCTCTCGTCATCTGCAGCTTGCAAATACAGAGGAGTTCCAGGACGGGAAATCGAACGGCGCACTGGGCGAGGTCTTCATCAGGTGCGGGAAATATTTTTGTCTTGTGAAGCGACATTCTGACGTTTGTTTGTAGGTGTAACAATGTCCTGTATATTATAAGTTTCTTCCTTCCAATTCTGCAGCTTGGATTTTATAGCTAATCGAATGCTTTAACACAGAGAGGCACCGCCCGAGTAAAATTTTGCCGAGCTACGACCAACCCCGGAAAATGTATCGTGCGCCAATTTTCTGGCTAGAATGCAAACCCCCACGCTGTATCACTCATTTCTTGTAGAATGACATTAATGTTTAATGGTCGCCAGCGGTCGCTATTCGTGAGTGATCAGCCTCGCTTTTCGAGAGTGTCAGGCCGAACAAGACAGACTCAAACATCCAGAATATCGCCCACATTATATTCTAAGCATTTTAACTACCGATACATCATTGCGTGACGACCTTTGTAATGCCATCCTCATCGATACATCAGACTGATGTGATTTCTCGGCAGTGTATATAGCTATCGTTCGCAGAAGTGAATGATATCGCGGTCACTTCTCGCTGTCGTCATTGGCGCGCATTGGCATGTCTAGGCCCACCCGGCGAGCCGTTGCTTTGATTCTTTCTTCAGCTGTGAGATCGTGTAACGGGTTATATCGCTCCAAAAGCACCTATGCAGATTTACGAGGTGCGGACAAGCAAAAAAAGCAACTGCAAACTCGCCTTGTGCTCCCGCTGAGAGCGCATGAATGTCACGGCATTCAGAATGTCATGGTCAAAATGCGCCTTCTGGTCATTCCGCTGTGCGTCCTCAAAAATGGTGTGAATGCTGCCGGTAACTGTCTTGGGACGGCCTGAGATGGACTGCAATCAAGTTTCAGTTTGTCTGCGGGACGAGATTGGACGGATGACCAACTGCTCTGTTAACCTCTCGGACAAGGGTACGGTAAAGAGCTTGGACCATAGCGAGTGTGACTTGTGGCTTGTGGCTTTTTGG